CTTGTCTCTTTGACGAGTTGTTGTGTGGTGCTAAGAATGACGAGACTCACTGACGATGCCGGCGAAACGTTTGCGAATGTACCACGTCCACGGTTCAACTTTGGAGATGATCATGCAGACAATGTCCCCCGGACTGGGTTCTCTAAGTCTTCATACCACAATGACCATGTTGCGAAAAACAAGGTCAAACAACGTCTACAGACCGAAAGGAGACTGCGACCACACAAAAGGCCACACCATCTTGGTCTTCATACCTTCGCTTAAAGGAAAATGAGTTTACATTTTAAATACCAAACCTTAATAACCAAATGTGATTATTTTCTCTTGGCGTATACTGTAAATGTGTGTGCTTACAGTGCCTTAGTCTACAGGTCACCGGTTAGAATCCTGCGGGACTGCAAGGAACGAGATCAAGGGCGATTCAGAAGGTGAGCGGATATTTTGGGATGCTATTTCATTTAAATGCATCGGACGTAACCACTGGAAAATGATCCATTCAGATAAAAATCAAGCTCTTGATTGGTACCAAACAAGCCTGTTGCAAATGCCAAAACTAGTTGATATGCAGAAATTGTCTGCGTTTCTAAGTCAAGTTGTACGTAAATCTTTTTCACGATGACAATGTATGAATGCGAATAAATTAATCACATGCTCTGCTTGAAATTTCAGTTCCCACTCTGGGCACCGACAAACGCCAGTGCCAAAATTCCCAATGCGACGGACATGCTCTGTGTTTTTGGCGTCCCTTCAAGCTCGTCGGAAAGGACGGTTACGACTACGATTGCGAGTGTCAACAATTCTGGATGTCTCCGCCGTGGAGGCGCGACATCAAGATCGGCACCATCTGCGTTCGTAGGTCCTTTTTATTTTGGTTGGGTCCAGATGGTATCGCAGTTTGTATAGGAAAGATGAAATCTTGCCAACGGAAGACCTGATGAAATGACATAATTGTTCTTTATTCACCTCATTTTTCCCCGTTTCACGGCAATTCCGCCGGCATAGAGACGCATCATTTGTTCCAGCTTTAACTGAAACAGGTCCTGGCGACATGTACCATCGGTTGTAGGCCAGGCGGCATGTCTGGCCTGTGAGTGATTGAGACGAGATTGGCTTGCGATGAATCTGCTGACTGTCTGGTTGAATCCAGCCGCAATACTCTTCCTCATTCCGTGTCATGAAAGTAGACTATGAACAGACGAATAGTACCCATTTCGGGGCTAATGCAGTCTTGTGCTTGCTGTACATTTTGGGACTCACTGAAGCCGAGCGAGGTCCGGCTTTTACGAGCGTTTAGACTGTATGTTTTGTGCGTATTCTCATGCATCTTTATCGGTCTTGAATCCAGGCCAGCTCAAGCTCAGTGTTGGAGAGCTCATGAAAGGACTTTATGATCTGTAATTCAAAAAAAAACATGTAAAACTGTACTCTTGTAATTCTTCCATTTGGCTTCGTGCTCATGCTCGGGCCGAATTGCAGGTTCGAAGCCCTTGTGAGCCCTGAGGAAAGAAATGTAAAGAGATTCGCACACAAATGACAATGAAACAGGAGTTCGGGACACTGAAGGCAAGCTTGCCGTTCTGTATGATCAAAAGTTTAGTCAGTTAAATCGTTTATTTACATCTGATAAAGAGATTACTAACAAAATATAAGTAGTAAACAAATGGCTCTGATCTATGGCCGGATATTGCACGTTTGTGTTATTTCTAGCTCACATGAGAGAAACGCTTTTACTTAACACGTTCTTAGACCATGTCAGGCCTTGATCGAATAAAATGACAATAAAATATTCGCATATAAAAAAAGCGGGGCTTCAAGTACTCCCTTAGTTAGTTGAATTAGTCATAGTGAAAATCAAGACAAGTGAAT